AGATTCCCCTCTCTACCCATCCCTTTCTCTTGAGCTTCAGAATTGTACAGCCACCTACTTCCAGAACACCTCAAACTTTCTGTCTCCATCCAGAATTCATCTCTTCTCCTCCAGCCCCATGTCCTGGTTTTCATTTTCTCAGTGATTGCATTGACTTTCTTCTTTAGCTCTCCAGCCTCTCTCCCCTTTCTCAGTCTGCCAACCTCTAGCTATGCCATTCCTGCTGGGAACCACTAAGCCAGCTCTCTAACCCATGCACTTCTCTTCCCATCCAGCCACCATTGCCTGTTAGTTTCTGAACTTGTCTCCCTGCTTCCAGGTTTGTCCTCCTCCAGGCCTCACTCTGCATCGTACCTGAGTGACATTTTCAAAGTGGACGTTTGTACATTATAGTTGGCTTCAGCAGAAACACCAAATTCCCTCCTGTGGCTTAGAGGGGATCTGACCTTGGTCTGCCTTTCTACCTTCATGTCTTACAATGCCAGGCTCAAACACTGAGGCCCAATCAACCCGACTTTGTTCACTTCCTTCAGTGTTTATGCTATGGCTGAGGGACTTTCCCTTGGTCCTTTCCTGTCTCCCAAATGTTTCCTCCACCCCTTTTCCCCTGATTATATTGACCCAATAGGTCCCTGTGGAGGTGTTAAGCAGGATAAGAGTTTCAAGGTCTGGATAGTTCTAATTAAATGCCATTCTTGCTAAATGTTCAAACGTAGCACAGTATTTTACAGGCCACTATAACTTGATGAGCTTGAAGGGAATCCAAATGTCCAAGTTTAGGCAACTGCAAAGAAGAAATCAGCATGTAATTAACCTAATAGTATATGTAAGAAATGGCTAAGCCTCACTCCTGTGAGACAATTTTGGATGTGAATACCCTGTCTCCTTTACTCGCTGAATTAGACAAAACTACCTAATGACAACTACTTGAATTTGGTAACAGAGACATGGCTTGTCTAGGAAGTGTTCCCTGATTCTAAGTCTGGCTTAGCTGCCTCTCATCACAGTTCTTTTCAGACTGTGCAGCTCTTTACAGTTGGCTTGCTGTTTCTTTATCTTTCTTCTCTCCCCTGAACTGTAATCAGCTTGAAGGCAAGGACCCTGGCATCTGAGTCACTTCACTGTGCTCAGGGCCTAGCACAAAGTGTGAAATATAGTAGATGCTCAATAAATATTGAGTAACTGCCTACATGAATAAGTTAAAGAATTGAACATGTGGAAATGAATGAACCCAGCCAAAAGAAACAAAAAGCTTATTTACTTAGAGCATAAGAAGGAAGCTGGCCACCATCATTTGCAGACTCAAGGCAGGCAGAGGAGTGGAAAAGTTTCACAGCGGAAAGAAGGAAGATGTCAGGTGTACTGTGATGGAAGCTTTTAGCATGGGAAAGCTGTAGGCTGGCTAACCAGAAGGGGTCATCCCATCTGAATGGTTAGGGGTGCATAGTTGGCTCTCTATGGTTGGTCCTAAGTTGGAATCATGGACAGAAACTAGGGAAGCTGTTAGATATTAATCAACTCCTGCCCATTTGAGGTCAACTGTTACAGGGGTTATTGTTTGGCTTCCTAGACTGGTTACTAGAGCTAGCTAATTGACCTTCTGCAAGTTTGACTTATAGAGAGTAGGCTGTCTTCCTGGGCTGATTACTGTAGACAGTGGGTTGGTTTCCTGGGCTGCTTGCTATGGACTCTGGGTCAGAGTTTTATTTTTATATATGGTCTGGCCACTGCCCATTTGTATGTTCATTCTCTTATATTAATGTTTATTGGCATCTAATGTACATCTTCCTTCAATTTGTGTTGATTATGTGGTGCCTTATTTACTTTTCACCATACCTCTGTGGGGTAGGTATTACCATTTCTGCTTAACCCTGATCACTTCAAAGCTGATGCCATTTACACCTTCTGTCTTCTGGCTCCCCTTGATGCCTTTGGTTGTCTCCCCTACCCCACTCGCCACCCGAATTCACTAAGGGCAGGGTTGTGGGGGTTCTCACCCAGCCCAAGGTTGCCATCTTCCCAGACATGTTATTATCCTAGCTCATCTCCTTCCACAACACTAGTTCTGGATTTATTTCTTTTTTAAAAAAATATCTTATTTATTTATTTTTAGAGAGAGGGAAAGGGAAGGAGAAAGAGTGGGAGAGAAACATCAATGTGTGGTTGCCTGTCATGTGTCCCCTACTGGGGACCTGGCCTGCAACCCAGGAATGTGCCCTGACTGGGAATCGATCTGGCGACCCTTTGTCTCACAGGCCCGTGCTCAATCCATTGAGCTGCACCAGCCAGAGCTGATTTCTTCATCTTCAGTGATCTTCACCTCCAGACCTCTTTAGTCACCCATGCCTTAACCATCAAGCACATCAGTCATCACCACCAGGCAAGGCCTCTTCTCTGATAGACAAACGCCATCATTCATTCTGTGGTTGAAGTGATGTCCTACCCCTTAGTCCTCCCATGAAGTAACAACCAATTCTGGGTAATGGCATTATGGTAGATTTCAAAATACCTTAAATTAGTTTTTGGTATTTTCTAAGATGTCTAAAATGTATAACATGAATAATACCCCCAAAACTCTCTAAATATTTTTTTACCCTTTAAAAGTGTGTCACCTATGGGACCACCAATCATTCTATCTCTGTTCTAGAGGGAACAGGGAAGGAAGGCAGCCCATCTAACATTGCATAGTCAAGTCACAATGTAATCAGGACCTGTAATGATGAAGCTCCTTTAAAATAAAGTTACCTCTTGGGAATTACCCTTATGAATAATTAATTCATAGGTTTCCAACGATCATGACAAACACAGTTGATAATCATGTTTGAGTGGCCATGTTCCAATATGTGGAGTATGGTGGTTGATTTTATGTCTTTGCTAGTCTAGGCTGTGGTACCCTGTTGCTTGGTCAAACACCAGACTAGATGTTGCTAAACACTTAAATCAGTAGACTTTGATTAAGCAGATTACTCTCCATAATGTGAGTGGGTCTCAGGCAATCAGATAAAGTCCTTAAAAGAAAAGACTGAGGTGCCTTGAGGAAGAAAGAATTCTGCCTCCAAGTTGCCGTGAGACTCAAGGTGGCAGCATCAGCTCTTCTCTGGGTCTCTGGCCTGCAGGCCTGCCCTCACAGTCTCATGAGCCAATTCCTTAAAATTTCTATGTTCATGTCCTGTCGGTTCTGTTCTACATGTGAGTGACATAAACTCCTTGGCACAGCAGAAATGAAGATCAACAGGACCCACCTCTGTAAATCACTTCCTCTCCACCCCCAGCCATCAGTCTTCCGCACCTCTAACTCCTCCTCATTAAATCGGGCCCAGCATCTGATACCACTCATTTGTGGTTGTTGAGTAAGATTATCCTTTAGCAGGTGGTTTCACGCTAGTGTGCTGTGTCATTAGCATTTTAAGCTTCTTGTTCCCAAGTTGAGGAAGGAAGAGTCTTACACTATCCTTGAATAGAGTGTTCCACTAACAGGCGAAGAGTTTTTATCACTAGGCTTCCTGCCCTGCCAGTGTGAGTTGCCAGATCCTTGTCCCATTTCCATCCCTTCCCTTGCTCCCCTTCTCTGTCCTAACCCCTGTCTCAGAGTCTCCAGGGCCTATTTGCACACTGTTTCTTTAGGGAATGTCCAATATTTTAGATGACAATGTGAAGCCTGTCTTGTCCTCCACCCTGCAAATGCAAATGCAAATGCCTCTCAATATTTCCTGAAGCTTCTCAGTCTCTGTGAAGAGCAATTCCTACTGCAGGAAAGGTGGCACAACTGCCTCTGCTTCATGAGTGGGCTCTTTCCTCTGGGGCGCTTTTCCCACACTGTGGACAGCAGACAGCATCTCCTCCCTTTTGCCTGCCTCTTCAGACTTCCAAATGCAGATTGTATCCCTCCCACAGAAGCAGGCTACTGGAAGCAGTGGCTCTCTAATTGTGCTAAGGGGTACGTATTTTTAGATTCTTTCCTTTCGTGTTTTTCACAGAGCATGTGATTTACTAGCACCTCCTCTGCTCATTCTGGGAGAAGCTCAATGACTAGATGAAAATTTCTACAGACTCCAGGGGGTTGACATGCTCAGGGCTCCTCTCAGCTCTGAGCTCCTGCACTTTCAGAACTACTGGGGTCATCTGCACCCCATGTTTCATGGCACTTCCTTCCCTTCTGCTCCCGCCAGCTGCAATCAGGGCTCTTTCATCAATCTTGCCCGAGAATCACTCACACAAGACTTATATGTATCATAGAACTTTATTGAACAAGGAGGAACATGGGAGTTGTTTTATATCTCAGCAAAAACCAAACAAGTAAAATTATATAAGTACCATTGTTGTTTCTTATAATCACCTTTGGGAATTTCTCTCTTGCCTCCTTTCTCCCCAGACATGATTCTCTGCTAAACTATTTGCTACTTCCTTCCCCTCCTGCCTTACTCCCTCTGAAAGCAGAGGTAGCTTCATTCAGTTTAGATTAAAAAACAACAACTAAACAAGTTCTGAAGCCTCCTACACTTAGTGTAAACAAAGAACATGGAGAAATGAAGAAAACAGAAACCCTCACCATTGTGCAAAAATGGACCCCCTTTCTTTCACACAGTGAAGCACTTCAGCTGCAGACACACACACACATGCACACATATGTACACACACGCAGCCAGCCTTGCCTCAGATGGATAGAACCCTTCTCAGGTCCCCAGTGAAAATCCATCTCCCTCCGTTTTCTCGTTTCATTTTCTCCTCTTGAATCTCAAAAGCTCTCAGAGAAAATGACTGCTCCTTCTTCCACTCCATATAAGTAAATGGCAAGGAACCATCGTGCATAGTGTGACAAGAAAGAGACCTGGAGAGATCCGAGCAGTGGGCAGAAGTGCTGCTAGGAGCGTGGAGGTTTATTTACAAAAAAGGAAGATGATTACTGTGGTGGAAAGCCACACTGTAGGCCCCATGGTATGCACTCAATGGGCAGCCTCAAAACTCTCATTAGAAAAGGCAAGCACAAAGACAGACTAAACCTAGACTCCCTCATGCAGCAGCTCAGTCCCAGCCCTGAGTTTGTCCAGCTCTTCACTGTTGTAGCCTGTGGGGCATGGCTGGTACTTGGTACCTAAGGCATCTGTCCCGGAGGAACAGTGATGATGCCAGAGGCTGCAGATGCCATAGACAGTGGCCAGCACAGCTGCCCCTAAAATCAGGTGCCAGCAGAAGAAGATTGTGAGAAAGGCAAGGTCCACAGGATTTTCTGATCTCCAGGGCTGCCCAGAAGGAGGAATGTACAGCACCGTGCAGATCTGCAGCAGCCAGGTGCTGAACACCAGCCCCATCCAGGACTTGAGGAACCAGAGTGGGGGCTGGTCAGGGACCCACACCTCAATCATAAGCACCAGGCCAACCAGGAAGGCAAGCACTATGAAGAAGATGTGCAGGCGGATCTCCAGGGCGTCCTTGTGCTCAACGTGGGATGCCATTAGCAGTGCCAGTGTACAGCAGGCCAGGGCCTCAGCTGCTCGCTCCAGCTTCATGCTCTGCTGTGCCTGGCATGATTGGCTCACAATGTCCACCAGGCCACTGAGCAGAAAGAATGTGTACATGGTGACATGCTGCCAGCTATTTGGGAACAAGAATGGTCGCTGAGGGTCCTCCCAGTCTACTATCTTCAGCCGGTTGACTCCTGGGGGGTAGAAGAAGTCGGCTATCATGCCAACGAAGCCCATGACAACCTTCACCACTCCTTCCACAGGTACCCAATTCCACCACCTGTGTCCTCGCTTCTCCCTTGGGGGTACAGGGGGCTTGAAAAACCTCTGTCCACGTAGCAAGGCCAAGGACGCCAGCACCGATAAGTAGAGTGTGTAGAGGAGGAAGAACACTCCTGGCAGCAGGTGTCCCTCGAGGTTTCCCATTGTCTCCGTGTATGTGTCTGGGCCAAGAGGGCAAGAGCTGGAAGATGAGCAGCAACCTCACAGGGCCCTCCTCACAAGCAAGAGTGACTGCTTCTGAGCGCTGGAGAGATCTCCCTGACACAGCCCCACCCCAGCCTCCCACACTTGGAAAGGCATGCCTCCCTGTGCTGGGAGCACCTGAGTCCTGCCCAGGGTGGGTACCTCATTCTGTCCCTCACTTAAATGGGCCACACCTGGAATTGCCACCTCTGCCCCTCACAGCTGCACTGATTTACCCTTTATCTCGAGCCCTTCCACCACACCCACACCAAAGAGTGGTGGAGGGAAAGGTTAAGGTACTCCAGCAAAGAAGGGTGGTGGCTGACTCTCTTCTATGACTGTGTCTGTGTGCCAGGAACATTGCGTATGTCTTCTCAGTTAAATCCCTCAACAAGGCAATGAGGGATTAAGCAAATTTTACGGGTGAATCAAGACTCAGAGGGGTGAAGGGTATTACAAGGTAACACGCCTAGCAGCCAGCACAGCAGACCCAGGCCTATTCATGTGTTTACAAAGTCCAGAGTTTGTGCACAGCAAAATGACTGAATCTCAGCTCCAACACTGCAAGTTTCATGATTATAGGCAAGTTACTTTGTCCTCTTCAGCCTCAGTTTCCTGATCTGTAGAATGGGAATAACAATTACTTCATAGGCTTTTTGTGAAGATTAAATAGAATAATGTATGTAGAGTGTCTGGTACATAATAAATACTCAACATAAGGTAGTGATTATTAGTAACTTTACTATTGTTATTACTAAAATTCCTTGCTAAATTCCTATGATGCTAAAGTTGTGCAAGTGTTTCTATGAACAATACCAAAGCAGGATCAGAGAGAAAATAAAAAACATAATTATATTAAAAATTATAAAGTTTTTTAATTAATGGAAATTAAATATGACAGTTAACAATTTATATATTAAATTACTGTTAACAAATTTCAAAATAAACACAAACTAAAATTATACATATATAATATATAAATGAAATATACATATATATATACCATTCGGCTGCTACTCCTGCACAGAGTCCATATCTAACAAAATGTTAGTCTCCTTACAGTGTGAAGTGCTCTTAGAAATAAAAAAGTTAAAACACCTCCATAGGAAAATGGGCAATGACATAAAGTGGCTATTCAAAACAGTAAATGCTGAATAAACCTATAAAATTCAGGATAGTAAATCTCACTGGTACATGAATGAATAATAATAAAATCTTCATGATACCTGCTAGATGAAAGTTTGTCTGCCCCCAATATTCATATGCTGATGCTCTAACTCCCACTGAGATGGTGTTTAGAGGTGGTCCTTTGGGAGATGTTTATGTTTAGATGGGGTGGTGAGAGTAGGACCTTCGTGATGGGATTAGTGCCCTTGTAAAAAGAGGAAGAGAGAAAGACGTCTCAGAAGAATGTGTATTGTTTGGTAGTGGGGTAGAGTGTTTATATATGTGTGTGTGTGTGTGTGTGTGTACATACACACATATTAATATGATTGGTTTGTTGTATTGTCCAAGTCTTCTGTTTCCATGGGTTCTCTCCATGTGCATACACTGGGAAAGGCCATGTGAGCACAGGGCGAGAAGGGGGCTGTCTGCAAGCCAGGAAGAAGGCCCTCATCAGAATGCAGCCATGTTGGCACCCTGATCTCAGACCTCCAACCTGTAAAATATCTTCCAACCTATGAACATGTGTAGTTTAAATGTTCATAGAACATTTGGGCTGTGGCATTTCGTTAGAGCAGACCAAGCTGACTAAGATAGAATTTTGATACTGTGAGGTGGGGTGCCACTGAAAGAAATACTATATTTTTGTGCACTTTTGCCAAATTTTTTAGGGAAAGGTTGAATTTGGGGTGTTTGCATATATGACAGTTCCTAAAAATGTCGACAGCAGCTTTGGAACTGGGTAATGTGTATAAAATGGGAGAGTTTTAAGGTTCATACTAAAAAAAGTCAAGATTGCCATGAAAGAACAGTTGAAGGTGACCCAGGGGAGAGCTCCAAAAGAAGAGAGAGCTATAGAAAAAACTTCCATCTTCTTACAGAATATATAAATAGTCATGAACAGAATGTTGGTGGAATAGGACTATAAAGGCTATTTTGGTGCAATCTCTGATGGGAATGTAGAACATGTTATTAAACAACAGAGAAAAGGTAATTCTTATTATCAAGTGGCAAATAACTTGGCTGAGCTGTGTTTTCTGGAAGGTAGAACTTGTGAGAGATGAAATTTACATGTTTAGTTGAGAAGATTTCTAAGCACAGTGTTGAAGGAGAGGCTTTATGCCTCCTGACTGCATATATAATAGTAAAAAGAGAAAAATGCAAAAAGAGAAAAACGAGTTGAAGAAGCAATTATTAAGAAAAAAACCCCAGAACTTAAAGATTGGAAAAATTCTCAGTGTGTCCATATTGGGAAAAATGAGACAGCTTGTTCTGAGGTCTACCCTAAGGGTGTGGCTCAGCAACCCTTTGATAACGAGACTGTATGCGTGAACCTCAGATCTACTCAACAACCTCATCAGAAACACTGCCAGTTTTAACTGAAAGGGATGCACCTGAGACTAAAGGAAGGGAGGCCATTGGACTTCTCAGATCCTGCAAGACTGGACCATAGAGCTTTTTGGCTGTGAATATGTGCTATTCTTCAAGACGAGGGAAGAATTGTCCTGAAGGCAATTCTGAGATCATCAGACCTAGTTTCAACAGGCCAGACAGTGGCCGCCTGGAGACTTGGGGGTGGGGCCACCCAGAACTGTGGGCTGGCAACCCACTCAGCAGAGCTACAGGAGTGGGATTGCCACCCCAGTTGGTCCTGACCCCGTGGGGCAGATAGCAGACCATGAAACCATAAGATCTAATGATATTTGTCTTGCCAGGTTGTAAACTTCCTTGGAATGATCATTCTTTTCTTCCAACTTCCCCCTTTGGGAATGAGAATGGTTACCCATGCCTGTCCCATGGCTATATTTTGAAGCACATAACTTTTCTGGTTTCACGGGTTCACAGCTGGAGAGTTTTGCCTCAGAGTGACTCATCTTCTTTTTCCCCCACATCTGATTTAAATATTTGGATGAGAGTAGATTTTAGAGTTGAAGCTGCTATTGAGTGAGATGTTTGGGATGGAATAAATTCTAGTAAAGACACATAATACTAGATTCTATTCTCTTTCAGTTGGTATTGGATACAATATCTTCTTCATCTTTTTACTTTCAATCTATTTGTGCCTTTGGATATAAAATGACATGTCCTTTTAAAAAAGATTTTATTTATTTATTTTTAGAGGGAGGGGATGGGAGGAAGAGAGGGAGAGAAATATCAATGTGTGGTTGCCTCTTGCACATCTCCAACTGGGGACCTCTCCTGCAACCCAGGCATGTGCCTTGACTGGGAATCAAACCAGTGACCCTTTGGTTTGAAGGCTGGCACTCAATTAATTGAGTCATACCAGCCAGGGCTAAAATGACATGTTTTTATCTATTTTGCCAATCTCTGTTTTCTACTGTAGAGTTTAATTCTAATATTTAGAATAATTACTGATAAGAAATGAGCATTTTGCTTTTTGCTATATACTTATAGCTTTTTGGTCCCTCATTCTGAGAAATACTGTCTTCTTTTGCATTGAGTTTGTTTTTTTGTAGTGAAATAGTTTCCTTTTGCATATATTCGATGGGTATTTTCTCAGTGGTTACTATGGGGATTGCACTTAAAATCCTGTATTATTCTAATTAAATTTATACCAGTTTAGCTTTTATAATATAAAACAACTCTGTTGCTATACACTCTGCTCCTATCACCTTTCAATTATTGATGTCACAAAATTAAATCTTTATGTATTGTGCACCTAAAACCATAGATTACTAATTGGCTTTAATACATTTGTCTCCTGAAGTGTGTAGAAAACAAATATGGAATTACAAACCAATGTTATAATACTACCTTTTAGCCCTGGCTGGTGTGACTCAATTGATTGAGTGACAGCCTAAGAAGCAAAAAATCAGTGGTTTGATTCCCAGTCAGGACACATGCCTGGCTTGCAGGCTGGGTCCCCAAGAGGAGGTGCGTGATAGGCAACCACACACTGATGTTTTTCTCTCTCTCCTTCTCCCTCCCTTCCTTTCTCTCCAAAAATATATAAATAAAATCCTTAAAAAATAATTGCCCATTTGTTTACTTTAATGAGATCTTTGTTTCTTAATATGCCTTCAAGTTATTATCTATTGTCTTTTCATTTCAGTGTGCAACTCACTGTAGCATTTCTGGAGAGGCAAGTCTAGTAATAATGAAAAAAATCAACTTCTGTTTATCTGGGAATGTCTTACCTTCTCCCTCATTTTATTAAATATATATTTTTATTTTATTGATTGTGCCATTACATTTGTTCTATTTCCCCCCCTCCGTTCCCCTCCACCCTGCACACCCTTCCCCCACCATCCCCCCTTGAGACCACATGTCTCAAGTCTTTAGATTCTCTATTTCCCCTACTATTCTTGCCCTCCTCCCTATCTATTTTCTACCTACCATCTATGCTACTTATTTTCTGTATCTTCTCCCCCCTTCTTCTTCTCCCACCCCCCTATTGCTAACCCTCCACATAATCTTCATTTCTGTGGTTCACTCCTGATCTAGCTGTCCTCTTAATTTGCTTTCGTTTTAGATGTGGTTGTTAATAACTGTGAGTTTGCTGTTCTTTCACTGTTCACCTTTTTTATCTTCTTTTTCTTAGGTAAGTCCCTTTAACATTTCATATAATAAGGGCTTGGTGATGATGAACTCCTTGAATTTGATCTTATCTCAGAAGCACTTTATCTGTCCTTCCATTCTAAATGAAAACTTTGCTGGGTAGAGCAATCTTGGCTGTAGGTCCTTAGTTTTCATGATTTGGAACACTTCTTTCCAGCCCCTTCTTGCCTGTAAGGTATCTTTTGAGAAATCCACTGACAGTCTGATGGGACTGTCCC